TTCCGGCATCACAGAATCCTGGAAGATACATCGAGGATGATGAAATTCCTCCGCGGCTTCAATCAATTGTTGCAGTTCTTGGAGCGCCTGATCCGGTAGCGTGGTGCTATTCTGCGACGCTAGTAATTCTATCCCTCGCGTACACCAAATATTAGCCTAATTAATTAACAAAGAATTAATTCTTTTATCGGAAGAAGAGCAAGTAAATCTGAACGCAAGTTGAACGCACCTTATCTATACGCTCCATAAGTTCCCTGCACTTGGTCAACATAAGGAGTCGTCTCTCGAGTCTCTGACTGAGAATAGTACAGACTCTCTGCAACTCCACGCATTTGGGTTCCACAACGTCCGCTGGGCACTGATGCCTGCCGGACAATAGCTGTTGACCAGCGGATATCACCTCCTCTGCGCGATCTATGTCTCCCTATAAACACATGTAATTACATTTATGCACGATAACGCGATTAGATGTCGATATATAAATGAAAGTGCTACGAACAACCATGGCATGTTTCTTAGTCTCATTAAATCGTCTAGAAAGAAAAGTTCTCGTAAAAGAAACAAAAATACACTATTATATATGCGTGCAATGCAGAGATCGAGAAATCATAATGATAGTCACATTCTCAAAAGTCATCGTGCCAGTGATCGGACATGAATCAAATCTCCACCGGTTTTCTGATGACACTTATGCGTGCATTTCAACTAAAAGAAGTAAGAAAACGAAATAAGATATTAGCTTAAACGGTAAATAACGAGTAATCAAAATTTAATTCATGTAGCGTCTACGAAATACTTGTCGAAACGTAACGTTTTCTATTTCAGTCCAACACATAATAAGTATAAGACTGAGACATATATAAATGCTAAGATATCAAAATCTCTGTGTCTCAAAATGTATTACAGAAGTCTATTACAGAATACATGTATGTTAAGTGGATTGCTTACCAAGACCCAAATCCACATGGTATGCAACAAATAGGACTATCGACAAAATGAGGAAAGCGGTGCAAAGTAACATTTGTGCATGATGTGCGTTATATATGTTACTGCTGGTAATCATGTTCAAACCAGAATTACGTGTTACATATAAACATGATGATAGATATTTAAATTTCTAGCATAATCATGATTTCATAATAATCATATCAACATGATTCAACATAATCAAGTATAATCTTGTATTTCTATCTCGGAATTTGTATTTCTATTACGGAATTTATATCGCAAAAAGAGAAATAGTTTCATAATGAATAAAAAAAGTACTAGTTTGAATGCAATGTGTACATTCTATGTCTATCCAAAGTTCAAAATTAGCAATATTGTTAAATTGCTTTCACTAACAACAAGTCATCGTATAATCATATTACTTTCATATAATAGGCCTTTATAATTCTTTAGAGAGAGCTTTATCTTTCAACAAATTCTTTTATTTGAAAATCCAATTTGTTCCGATTTTTGTTAGATATTTCATCAATAAAATGATCAAATATATTAATTCAATATATATATATATATAATAATATCTCGAAAAAATTAAAAAATATCACGTACTCTGCATATTCGCTGAAACGCCGATGTATCGTGCAATAATTGCTCCACTCTTGTTTGCGTCTCGCCGACTTCCGTCATTTCTTCTGCCGCCTTTAAATGCTGATCTAATGTCGCTTGCAATTCTCGAAAATCTTGCTCGAATTGTCGCAGAGCCAGACAGTGTCTCAAACGTGAACTATGATGCGACCAAAACAAGTCGAAAGTTCGTTCAGTTTCCTCCAACTGAACAAGTAGTCTGAAATTAAATTAAAATGTAAAAATTAAAATATATTCAACATTCAATATTATAATAGTCAAAGAATTTTCTTTTCTTTTTAGATTTTCTTATTTTCTTATTAAGACGCATTTCCACTGAAGGTAATGGCGTCGATCGACAAACTAGTTCTTCTTCTTTTTTTGTAAAAGAAAAAGTTGGCACGATTACTTTCTGAAGACGAACTTTTTAGATTAGATTTTTTATTAGATTAATTAAGTCGAATAAAAGCAATTGATTTGTAAATTATTTCGTCAAATTTATTACTAATTATCGATTTCTTTTTTCATTTTTTTACCTCTCTACTGCAGCAACATTTCCTAATCTGTCGGCCGTTCCTTTTCCTGTCAGCTGCCGTACACTATCCAAAAGAGCTTCTCCGTGCCTAGCAGCGCTGAGTATTTCTTCTTTTAACTCGTTATACTCAGCTTGTTGCTGCGACAATAATGTTGTCGTAGCTAGAGTGTTATTAGGAAATTCCACTTCGGCCAAACGTCGCGTGAAAGAGTCCAACGCGAGGGACACGTCCTGCGTCATCGATGAAAACTTTTCCAAACTCTGCACAAAGAGAGTAACATGAAAATTTATTAATACAAAATGCACAAGTTAATTTCACCCAATATCGTTAAATTTGTTTCACATATTTACAATTCTGTTTTGTATCCAAGTATGATGGCAATATGGTAAATCGCCGCCGAGTTGCTCGGTAAGCTGTTCCTTCTCTATGAACTCGTGTAGCTCGGCGACGTTAGCTAAGAAAATAACTCTAAACTTGAAATCCTCCCGAAATAATTTATTCGATACTTCCGAAATGGCCTTTTGTAAAAATCCAACGGGTCGTAGTACATATGCGACGTGTACTAAGCCAGGAAAAAATGCCTGGAAAAAAAGCATACAATAAAGACTTGATGATAAGAATAATTATTCTCAATTTCAATCTAAATTTTTGACAGAAGTATGAATTATTATACGATACATTGAATGCACTTACTGAAATTTTTAGAAGTACCGTTTTCACTGAATTCCACTTGTCGTTTCTCCGATCAATTATTAAATGAAATCCAAGATCAGCTTCCTGCAGCCTAGATGATAAAGTTTAAAAAATACGAATGTAATCTAATTTAATTCAGAAAATGGTTTAACACAAAAAGAGAAACAAAAATCAGGTATAAATTAATCGCGTTGAACTAATCGGCTGTATTCTTACGTTGGCACAGAAGTAAGATACAGCATAAGACGCTGATAGTCCAAATCAGTCAAGTTATGAAAATTGCCATTATCTGGAAATGTGATTATAGGACATCCTTCTCGCGTTTTTCCTCCTGAAAAGAAATAAGAGAGCTATTTAAAAACACTAATTGACGGAAGTAAAATCTCAGAGCAGCTTATAGCATTTTAGACATTTACCAGCAATAATAGCGTATTGTGCTTGGAGAAGGTCTGCGACGTCTCGAACTGCCAAATCTCCGTTTTCTATCTCGCCTGTCATACTCTCTACATCTTCTGAAACCAAATATGTTACCCTTTTCATTATGACTATCATCAATATCATCAATATTTTTAAGAATATATTCTAGATTTTTTTTTTATATCGTTGCTATTTAAATTAATAATTCATAATAAATTCCTTAAATTAATAAAAAATATACATTTTAAATTTAAAAATTACTTAATAAACAGTATAATATAGTTAGAAATTAATTAAAAATCACTATTTCATTTTTATATATTTAAATATTTACAAAATATAAAACATATACAAATATAAAACATTATTCATATAATTCATATATATTTATGCAATAAATCTTATTGAATACTTTTAACATCACAGTAATAGAAAAACTTCTATCATGTTTTATTCTTGAATTAGCATTAAAAAGTGCATCCGAATTATTTGAAAAAAGAAAAAATTGCACTTCACAGTAGGTCACAGTATCACTCAATTATAGCAAAAAGCTCAAATAACTTAACGATTCTAGTTGACACTCTGTATCTTATGCAATTGTTTACAGTGAATGCACGGCTCAAGTCTCACTGGTGTACTGAATGCGAGTACCTGATCAGAAGGTTGCACTCACATGACCTTGCTCATGCCACTGAGCTGAAACAGTTTCCTGCAGTACCCACAATATTGCTGATATAACTGTAAACCAAGAGGCTCTCAAACGGGAGATTATATCCTTAATTATGCCAAGAATCTTGAAAGACAAGATAGTTTCTAACTACCGATACATCCTAAAAAACATCTAGTCCCGCAACGGTTCAACGCCTCGTCTATCTTTGCATATATAAGAAATAAGATTTTAAATATGAGCCATTAAAAGAAAAGGAAATTAACCTTGAGTTATACGCACTATTTTTAGCATTTTTAAAACTTTTTAAAAATCAGAGGTTTATAATAATAGCAACTAAAATTTTATCTGCTATTTATTAATATTAGATTTTATCTTTGCTCATTAATTAATTTAAATTCGGTTTCATTTTATATGAAAATATAAAAAATATACACGCTTTTACGTACATGTTACAAATAAAATATATAAATTATGTATATATAATATGTAGTTAGTAATGATAAAGAAAGTTTATGTTTGTATGAATTGAGAAGCACTGTAGCTGTTATTACTATAGTTACTTCATTTCCATGTCTGGAATTCAAGGAAGATAAAAAATATTAAGATTCTATACTACTTTTTGGTATCAGTTCATTGAACTCTCGTATACATATAAGATGATGATATAAAGGTCATAAAAAATAAGATACAATTATTTTTCATAGTTTCAAAAAAAAATTTTATTATATGAAATAAGATAGACTATATATTTTTAACAAATACAATTTACGTAATTATTCTCATTTTCATTGTGTCAGAAGTCTTATATATGAATGTATTATCTACGAACATTTGGCTAAATGCTTTTTATGGTTGCAGAAATATTTCATACATCCAAATATTTTTGAACATAGCTTATTTATATTTGTTACACATCTACATGTTTTTGATGGAACACAACTTGCTTATTCGATATAACAAAAAATATACTTATATTTCAACAAAATTGTACTTAATAGCAGCATAAGTTAGAATCTTTGTATATAATTTCATATATCGTTCATATATATTAAAAGATTATTGTACTTACATATTTCTTATATTGGTATTACTGATATTCAGTTTAAAATCGGGAGCAATTGTCAGGGAAATACAGTCTTACATTATATATCACATTCATATATTGTATACACGCATACCGTTTGTATAAAATTATTTTTTCATTATTTTGTTTTTCAGTCTTCCACGTTATACGCTTTTGTTTTCAATCGTGTGATAACAGTTGAGTACCAGCCCGCGCGTAGTGACCTGATAAGTCGCAGTACAATTGTCATGCAAATTTCTGATAGGCGTCAGCACGTAGGTATCAGTCTGTCCTAGATCACTGGTTATCACCAATGGTAGTATCTTACTGCCTTTTGCCTCGAGGGCGATTTCCGACTTGGGTGATCTTCGTTGGCCCGTGTCGTCTCTCGCATCGGACTCGGTCGTGCAATGATTCTGCGCGGTCTGACTTCTCGCGAATTCCAGTTTGGCGAATTTTACTTGCGGGAATTGCACCTTCATGAAACGCCGAAATGTCGAGTAGCCCAATTTCTTGACGTTTGGCGACACCTTCTTACAGTACTGCATGTACAGGTCGTGCACAGTTTTTCGCGTCAAATCCGACGGCAGATGCAACGGCGCGTTCTTGGCGAGCTTGGTCTTCTGCTTCGTCTCCTGCATCTCGATAAAATTCTTCAGGAATTTCATCGCGATTTTGTACGTTTCCAGCGAAAACGTGTTATGCGGTATCTTGCCGTGATTACCATGCACGCGCGGCGTCACACCATGTGTCATTAGATGTTTCCGGATTCGCTTGAGCTGATAATGTGTACAATTCTCCAGATACAGGAAAGCGTCCAGACACACTCTTCGACCCTGATAAACATACTGCGCACGTAGTCTACGTCGTTCCGTGTGCCGGGCTGTTTGATAGGGATCGGTCAGACAGGCCATCGTCACGCCCATTAAATACATATCATGCTCGGCTTTAGTTAGTTCCGCGATGTTCAACCTGTGCCGATAAACCACCTCGGGATTTAAGCCTTTGAAGCACTCATCTTCGACACACTCGCAACCTTTCTTGAAGCGTTCCACCACTTGAGATAGATTGTCCTCCAATTTCGTAGGCTCGCTACTTGTTTGACTGTTCCGAACTTTTTTCGTCTTGACTTTTGCGACGGTCTTCTTTGGCTTATTGGTGGAATCCTCGCTTTTCTACAATAAAAAGAAATCGATGCATGTCAAGCAAATTGTCAATTTTAGATTGCAAGAAACTATTTAATATAATCTAAACTGCATTTATCGATAAGATTATATAAATTATTCAAAATATTAAATATAAATTTCATGGAACTTTTTTTGAAAAAAAAAATAGAAATCAAATAAGAGAAAGAATCTTATTTTTAGTCAAAGCACATCTTGATACTTAATAATATTAATATATAGATTAGTATCATTTAATAATTTGGCGATCAATGTAATTTTTGATTAAAAGTGTTGATATTATTTCTAGCTACAATTTATTATTATGTTTAAAATCTGAATTTTAAATTAAACTATCAATGCGCAGTTTATAGAACTGCGATGAAAAATGTAAATCTACATATAAATATTATTAAGCATCACAATCTTTCGATTTAAATAAATTGAAAACAAGATTCTTTTTTTTAAATGATTTATTATTATTAATATAATTACTATAATTTTCATTAAAAATTGTATATAAAAATAAGTGCAACTTAATAATTTAAAATTTTACCTTCATCCCTACATCTGTTACTATTTGCTCCTTTGTTACTATATTTTTATCAGCAACTTGTATATTAGTTTTTGCTTTTTCCTTATTATTTTCCAACACTGGCTCCATTATAGTTTCCTTTGTTATTTTATTTTTATCAGCAACAGCAACTTCTGCATTAGCTTTCACTTTTTCTTTGTCATTTCCTGACTCTAGCTCCATATTGTATCTCAATTCATACAATAGTTTCCTGTCATAATAAAATAATATATCTTAGCATCTCGGATAAAGTAATTACAATCTAATAATCACATAGTTTCAGTGACAATAAATTGTGGAAATAAAATAACATTTAGAATATAATCGAAGACTATTTAAATAGATTTGGAAAATATTGTTATATATAAGACAAATAAATTTTTCAAGGGTAAATGATAAACTTGTAAGATTTTAATTTCGATAATTTTTAGACATTAATCTCCTTTTGATTTCATCGCGTTTTACTTTCTGCGTTTTGTTTCGTTCACCTTTCCCTTCAACCAACAAATACATACTCTTTTTATTATGATAGAAAGTGTGCGAAAGTGCAGTTCACTACAGCTACATCAAAAGGGTTGTTTTCTTTTTAGGAATGCTTTTTATTTGCTGACACAAGTTGACACAAATGTCGTCTTGTGTCAGCAAATGAAAAGTGATGTTTGTATCGACTTGTGTCAATAAATGAAAAGTACCTAGATTCAACACTTGACACAAATTGACACACGTCGAATCCATCTACAATTTTGTTCAAACTCGATTGACACTTTTCGAAAGGAGAATTGGCGTGTGATTTTAATCAATTGAATAATATTAGAGCGTACTCATAAACCAACTTTTATCATTTGTAATATATACAATATTGAAAAATAGTTCAAGAAATTTTAAGCTAATTATAAATTCTGTGAGGTTAGGTACTAAAAATTCGCGCATACACTATACATATAGCATTCCATTTAAATTTTAAGTGGCAAAACACTCAAATGTGTTAATTGTGTCGACTTATCTCCTAAAAAGAAAACAAAAGAAAATAGATACCTATGTATTCAGTTCCTTCAAGCTGCACTTTCTGCACTTGCTGGAATGAGATAACTGTGTACATACACACGCTCCGGAAATATCCAGAATAATTCAAGAAAGGAAATCGGAGTGAAGTGCATGAAATGTAGTTAGATCAGATTTCAGAGATGCGTTTCCCTGGACCGCGTATTTCATAGGAAACAATAGGAAAGTGCAAGCAGAATTTGGAATGAACGCGGTATCGCGCGAGAGTGCAGAAAGTGCAGCCGCAACCATAAGGTCGAGAGTTGCTGATCGTCCCCCTCGGTCGCCAACTTTCGTCCCTATAGCCTGTTACGAATGTTACGTCGATAGCTTTAACTCACCGTGTTTCGACGGATTGTCACGAGCTCCACGGCTTGGCCATCCGATAGTTCAACGGATGTCAGGTCGACGAAATGGCGTCCAATGGTATCTACGTGAACTCAATCTCGCAGCACGTAACAATGAATCACAATGAATCGCACCGTAATACACCAACTAGTACTCCCGACGAAATAGCGAACGTCTCGTTCGTGTTATTGTCGTAGTGAAAGAGAGGGAGTCCTCCTCCAGGACCGTCTACGAAAGTACGGTACCCTACACTTTTCGTCTCGCGCCGCGATAAAAAGTATCGCGGACACACATTTGAATTGATAGCAGAAAACGTTCAATTACGTTTTACACTTTAATCGGGAGGTTTTGCATAGATTGCGATAGAATGCGAATTTCTGTTCTTATCATAAAAATAAAATATGATCATATGTATATAATATCTCAGATAGTACACAATATTTATAAAATATTTACAAAATATTTATGAATATTTATGAGATTTATTATAAATATTATGAAATATTATTGTAAATGAAATATTTATTGTAAATGTTACAGTAAATGCTATAAAAATACTTAATAAAACATAATCCAAGTAAAAAATACTTATTAGAAATATTTATATTTATCATAAATTATTACATAAAATATTCCATCATTTATATTTGAATAATATTTTGAATGAAACTTTATATAAAATATGTATGAAATCTTTACATAATATTTCAAAAAATGAATATTAATATATATATTTATTATAAATACTAAATATTCTGTGCTGTTTGAGATTAAAGTAGGATATTTAGTTATTTAATAATTCAATTTAATAATTCAACAATTATTTACATTTTAATTGATAACTTAAGTATTTACATTTTGTATCTTACAGATGTTTCACATCGAAGATAATATTATAAATAATATAATTTAATAAAAATGAATTTAATCTTCCATTTGAGTTTTTTTAGTAAGCAAAATTTCATTTTTTAATTTCTCCAAAGTAAAGGAAGACAGAATCCAATTCTTTTTCTCTCTTTTTCCTTTCTTGTTCAAAATATCTTGTTAAAAATTATTTTGTAATATAACAGAGATGTTGAAAAGTAACCATGAATTTTAATTTCTACATTTTTTGAAAGCCTACATTGGAAAAAGAATCTGGTTGCTTTAATTGGAATTCTGGTTGAAAATTAACAAATTAGAATTTTCTGATTGAATTCAGAATTCTGATTGATATAATTATAGAATCTTCTGTTTTGTTTATTTTGAATCATAAATTTTCCTTAATGTAGAATAGTAGTAAAAAAACTTAGATAGAACGGAGGAAGTAAAAATATGAAGCCTATTCTTTTCCAGGACTTTCTTGCATGATTCATCTTTCTTCTTTTTCTTTTCATATTGACAAAAAAAAGATAAAAAATGAATCATGCAAGAAGTTTAGTCTTGGAGAAAGAATAAGCCTATGATTGCAGATAGAAAATTAGGATAGGAATAAAAAACTTCAGCAGTAAAACGTAAACAATAAGCAAATTGGCCAATCACAGTAAAAACTATAATCCAACATTTCCTTACTGCTTAAATTTTTTTGTGTGCCATCCGACACGACACATTTCTCCGATTGATGTTCTGAAGACGTTCATAAAAAACTCTAAAGGTATTTTATGAAACTCCTCTAGACATCTTTTGGGGAGAATTGTATGGTAATTCTTAATAAAAAAACTCGATGCTCATATGGCTTGCTCGATAAATGCAAAATGGAAAATCACAATTGTTAATTACAATTAAATCTTCCATAAATCTCACAGAAGTTGCAAAACATTAATGAAACACAAGTATCCGAAATATAGAATGTAACGTCATTGATTCGAGACTAACGAGAAATTCGTTTTTTAACCTGGAAGTAATTCACGTGATATCGACGCTTTTTCACATAGTGTGTTAATGTATTCACATCGCGAACATCGAGGAGAAACATCGTCGTTAGTTCCCGTCGAAGGGAGGAAAAAAAGCTTCCCGATGTCGCTCTGAACGGAGAGAGAAGTGTGCGGATTATTGATTGACGGGAAAATGCGGATACAGCCCTGGCACTCAACCCCTCCAATCCCCTCCAACCCCCGCAATGCTACACCGCCCTGGCGCAAGCAAGGGAAGAGCGCCACCCTGGAGACCGCATATATGCACAATGCGCAGCGCGCCGAGACGGCGAAAATACGCTCCAAATAGCACCACACATGGAGAAACGGGTTCTTTTGACGGTCGACGACGTAATCCGGATCAGAGAAGCTTGTAGCAATATTGTTGCAACGTTCACTAGCGGATCACGGGAGGCGACATGGGGGACTATGGTTGGAGTTTCCTTTTTTTAAAAATGTTTATAGCAAAACGTTACATGTATTTTTAATATTTCTGAAATGATGATAAAAGTAAAAAGTCATGTTAATTTTTAATTGCTAATATTTACTGTCTTTCAAATTTTTAACAACAAACAATAAGTTCTTTTTAATTCTGAAACGCTTAATCACAATTTTGATATGCCAAAAATATTTTTTAATTTAGAAACTCTATAAAAAACATAGATTCTATTATTATTCTTCTTTAGTATTATTAATATACTATTAATATACTAAGTATTATTAATAATATACTATGTTACTGTAATATTGCTGAAAAGATCTGTGTTGTATGCAAAAAAGAATCCTATTCGCGATCCTCTCAATAGTCATATTCTTTCAATAGTTCGTTTTTTATTGTTGCACTTTCCTTCTTTAACAAAATTTCGAACATACATCTAAGATATGTTCTTTTCTTTATCTGTTCTTTTCAATTGAACTTTTTGCATAATTCATTTTTCTTCTTTTTTTCCACGTTGGAGAAAAAAAATGAGAAAAGATGAAAGCTACAAGAAGTTCAGCTGAAAAGAATAGATAACTATTTCACTATAGCTACGTTCAGCAGAAAAAGTAGTTTTGCAACTGTTGTAAGATTCTTTAATTGGTTTCGTCTATATATTATAGATCCAGAAGAGCTAAGGCCAAATCACATTAAAGAATTTTACGACAATTGCAAAGCTTTTTCTGCTTTTTCTGCTGAACACACTCTTTAAGTACGAAGAGTCTATACTAGCTATATACTTCAGCTATTATAATAACAGATTATAAAAACAGATCTATTGTCAAGTTACGATGTCGATTGAACACTCGGGTGACCTACGCTTCACACAATACGGATCGATTCTCCGCTTTGTTGAATCTCTCTCTTGGTTGCAGCAAATTAAAGAAATTTCATTTCGTAGTTTTAGGCGAGAATGTTTTTTCAAGAATGGAATCGTAAATCCGACACATAGAGCAATAAGACGTAAAGTGATGAGGTTTCTACAATAAGCCATTACCTTTAAATTTTAAACTAGTCTTAAGTAAGAAACTGATCAACAATAATCACTTATTCTTTTCACATTCGACGTAATTGGTCAGTTTCTTACAGCTTAAGACTTAAAAACTTAGATAAGCTTTGTAAAAGCTTATTGTAAACAACCTATCAATAGAGCGAATTGGCTAATCACAGTAGAGACAATAATAGTAAGGCAGTAACGTAAGTAGCAGCAAATTCAAAATGTCGATTTACTTATCGCTTACATTTTATTGTTCAAGTCTTTTTGTGTTCCATGAAGTGCGATCCACTTAACGCTGCAAATGCTTCGTTGACCAATCAGAAGGAGGAATTTTATGAATTGACCAATGAAAGAAATGCTTCAAAGCATTTGCAGTATTAAGTGAATTACATAGCTCTAACGGGGAGATTTCGAGCTCGTCTCGGTGCTTCATTCCGTCACGGTTCCAACCCCCGTACGTCTCTCTCTCTGCTCTCCAAGGTCGCAGGTATTGAAACATTGAAACCGCGGAAGCAAACGTGTGGCTTCTACAATAGCAGAAGCCTCTTATCTCGCGAGCGTGTCGAGAGAACAATCGGTTTCTCGGTTCTACGCTTAAACCTATGGAATTCGTTCCTCGACGCCACGAAAAACACTGTTTGCTTCAGATACGACGAGCTTATAGATATTTATACATTCAAATTATTTGAATATAGAAACGTATTTGCACTTTCCGATAAGGCTAGATAAAGACTTTTCAAGACATACTTCGTGCAGTCATTGCTTTCGGTAGTCAAATCTTTATGAACAATTATAACTTTTGTAATGGAGATTGAGAAGTCTGATAGATTATTGAAATTCTGTTTTTAATTCTTAATTATATCATTATTAATTCTCATATACCACAAATTCCAGCAGAAAATAATTTCAATATTGCGGCACTGTAAACGTTGCAGTAATGTTGTAGCAAGTTTTTGTACGAATTGATTCTATTGATTTTATTAACCCGAAATTGAAATATTTTTTAATTAAAATTAAATTAAGTATATGAGTTATTGTGATCCTGAGATTTTTCTAAATTTTAAATAGTAATGATTTGGAACAATTTTCACAATCTTATTTTTCATTTAAAAAATTAAATTTTTTAAAAATCTTCAAAAAAATGAAATGAATAATAAAAAATTTAATAAGTCAACTCGTACAGCACAAAAAAAGCTTGGAGCAATTTTTGCAATTTCTGACGAAAATAAAACTCGGAAATAACTCGGACGTAAGTCGAATGTAAGGGAAGAATACTAGAAACAATGAAACTTCTAAAAGCATAAACGCCTCTTTTACGTTTCGTTGTTTCAATTTGCCCTTCCTAAAGACTTAGACTTCATTTACGCTTTGTTACTTACATTTGATTTAGACTCCCATTTTTATTTTCGTCAAAGATATTATCGCAATATTGCTGGAAATTATCGCAATATTGCAATGTGCTGTATGGAAAAGATCCAGATGTTCTCTTAATTAACATAAAAAATATGTATCATGTAATTCCTATTATGAGTTAATAAATTGCGTGAAATGATACAGACACGGAAAACAAAAGGAAACAGCGTCAAATGAACAATACTCCAAAGACAAAGTCGACAATAAGTTTATATGTAAATGATACTCCAGTTATTATGAAAACACGACGAGTTTCTACATCATGAACGATATGTTTTGAGGATTGTAAGTACTAACGATGCAAGTCAAACCTGCGCATTTAGTCGAGCAGTGCTGATGGCAAGGACAATTGCAGCTGTGCTG